GAGAGGGCAGGAGAGAGGGAGACGCTGTAGAGAGAGAGAGGGAGACGCTGTAGAGAGAGAGGGAGACGCTGTAGAGAGAGAGAGTCTAAGAGTATTTTTATTTCATGCGCAGAAGAGGAAAAGCCGTTTGCTCAAGCGTGTTGAAGGCGTTGCCAGGCTCAGGTGCGTTCTCACCCAGGATGGTCAGCAGCACGGGCAGCAGCAGCCGCAGGTGGGCGGTGAAGACCGACACGGCCGCAATGCAGATCGCCAGGGACAGCAGCAGGCTGTAGAGGGCGCTCTGCACACCTGTTCAGACGAAGGTGTCAACAGATTCAAGTCAAGACCTCTGTGCTGTGCAAAGTGTTGAACGTTTCTTTACCAGTAGCTCGGGAAGAGTGGGGGGGGACCATAGTCAGGCCAACAGACAGAGAAGAAGAGAGAACCGGGGGAGTGTAACAAGGACAGAGAGAAGACAACTTGCCCAGGATCTCCATGAAGATCTGCTTCCAGTGCTCGCAGGTCTGGAACCCGCGGCGCAGAGCAGAGGACTGTGGGAGTGCGGACAGCTGCTCCTGCAGGAAGGACTCCCACTGGAGGAAGTCGGACAGGGTCTGGAAGGAGGACTTCCCCTTGTAGGTGGTCTGAGGGGACAGAGAGGAGATGAGACGTGGACGATCAGAGGACAGGGGGGTTCCCCAATGATGACAGCGGGTGATTAAAATGATCAATTCAAACCTTTTCAGGATGAAGGCTGGGCTTGTCTCAACATACTTGGGCTCCAAATGGAAACCCAGCTAAATCTGAACAGAAACTCCATCAAGAGCTGGAGAAACTCACAGACTCAAAGGCCATGGACACCCAGCGCACAGCGCCGTCCTGCAGCCCCAGGGCACCGTGGGAGAGCTGGCCGGGCAGCAGGCTGGGCTGCGGGAGAGACTGGCACTCGGGGTGCAGCAGGGGCAGGAGGGAGGACAGGCTGCTGCCTGAGAGAGAGGGGAGGGGCGTTAACAGACACTGTGCATCGACGCCTCACTGGGCGAGGGCGCTGGAGGGCGTCGGTGTGCCCAGGGGCCGGTACCTGAGGGCAGGCACTGCGCTCCGCCAGGCTTCACCAGGTGGGAGTTACTGCCGATGGTCTTGCACAGCCTGCACAGGTGTCCGATCTCCCTGAAGAGGTCAAAGGTTGGGTCATAGATCACGCTGCCCTGTCAGGAGGAGGGGAGAGGCACTGTGACAGCGACAACACGGGCTGTCCAGAGTCCCGCATGCATGTGACAACACCAGTCCACCCCTGAGACCCGAGCCTGTGCCAGTACCTACCATGTCCCCAATGACGTGGTTACCGGTGTGGCGTGTGCGGTTAACTCCCAGGATCCCGAACACCACGAACACCATGGCCCCGGTGTCCACCAGGGGGCGCACTGCGGGTCTGCCACACGCGCCGTTCTCACAGGGGTTGAAGCCGGAGGTGGCTGAGCCGACCGCCCCCTGCTGGTCTGGACGCAGAGGTGCAAGAGGACGGTGTGAGGACGGTGTGAGGACAGCAGGAAGCTCGCGGGCTGGAGCGTCACTGGCTGAGACCCCTCAGCCCAGAGAGGCTCAGACAAGCGCCCCGCCCTGCGACTCCAGCCCGGGCCGCGCAGTTTGCAGGACCAGTCCAGCCCTCCCTCACGTTACTTCACTGGACGCACTGCTGGCTCGATGAGGTCACCCTGCCCACAGGCTGAAGATGGAGCCCCATGCGCTCGTGCAGTGTGTGCTCCATTTTCTTCTAATTCTGGATCAATTCCGGGTCATTTTAAAACGTACATTATTTAAAAAATCATTTAGTTCCCTTTTCCACCACTGCTGTCACTTTACCTGTGAGCAAACTAGAGGGACACACTGCCCCAGTCGGGCTCCCTGCGGGAACGCTGGGTTTGCACAGTAAACAGTACCCCTGCGTCCAGCGAGAGGGGGGGGGGCGGTTCTGCTGCAGGTCAGGAGCGCTCCGGCCACACCCACCTCTGTTGACCGGCGTGTAGAAAGATCCTTTGGTGGGTCCGTCCGGCCCCGAGCTCAGCACGCAGCCAGGGGGCGCCGCACACACGCGGCTGTGGAAGGGGCTGCGGCGCAGCTGGGCGAAGTACAGCTTCCTGTGGGTCAAGGAGCAGGCCGGTCAGCACCCCGGCCAGGCCAGGCCAGGCCATGGGCAAGGCACAGCCCACTCCCCCACTCCCAAAAATAAAGAGCAGGTGAAGAGCTTGGCTTCCTCTCCCTGCAAGCCTGCACACTCCTCCTCTCTCTCCCTCTCTCTCGCTCACCTGCTGTGCTGCTGCTCAGCCGAAGCCACATAGAAGCTGAACTCCGACCTCCAGCCCCTGCTGGGGTCGCAGGAGCGGGAGGTGATCATGCCGGCGGGGCGCGGCTGTCCGGCGGCGGCCACACACACGGTCAGCCGCGTGGTGAAGTTCCTGTGCGGACCGCCGAACGCCTGCAAGAGCAAGAGGCTCCCTGTCACTCTGCCCAGGCTGACCGGGAGATGGACAATACTCATCTGGACAGTGACGACCCCTCACGATTCTGTGACAGGGCTCTGCACAGGCTCCACGGATCGACCTTCTGCTCTGATGCTTCACTCAGGGTCTGTTTCACTATCGCATCGTGATTCGCGTGCTGCTCCGGAGGCTGTGACCCCACCTGGGGCTCAAGCAGGTGCGGCCCCGCGGCCAGACGCTCACCTGAAAGGACGGCACCTCCCCGTTCCCAGGGGTCAGTGCTTTCCAAGGCAACGGCACGCTGGCGTTCAGGGAGAAGCGGTAGAGGGGCGGCCCGGCGCCGGCCTGCAGCTTCGACACGTAGACGGTGAGCAGGAGACCTGCTGGGGGCGAGACGGCTGCTCAGGCGCACATGCGATCAGAGACTCTAATGTTTTGGTCACTGAGTGTTATCTCAAACAGCTCTACTGCATGTAAAAATAAAACAGTTACAATGAAGAAAAAACATTTCCAAAATGTTCCCTGATCTCCAGCAGAGGACCCCAGAGCAGCACTGACCTGTGGTGACGTCAGTCGTGCCTG